CAGAGATGGGGCTCTCTTCAACGCCATCAACATTAGTCGCCCGAGACTGTTGCGGTTTGCCATCACCCTTTGCCCGTCGCAAAGTACCGCGGTCTCCAGGTTCACCTTGTCTCCACTTGCCCCAATCAGCTGGATATCCGATGAGGTTGAAACAAGACTCTTTATAGTGGCCAATTTTGTTGCAATGTCCACAGCGTGGACAATCATCTTCAGCTTCCTTGTCTACGCGCGTCTGGAAAACTGAAGCCTGAACAGGAGGTCGACGGCCATCTGTGATATGTCGTTGCTGCTCCTCTGCGGCAACCAGTTGGTACGCCTCTGCCAGGCTAGGCGTGGGACGCATGCTTAGAATCTGCGTTCTCACAACCGAGAAGACGTCATCTAAGCTGAGGAGGAAATCAAACCACAGCTCCACCTCCTCTTTCTCGCGGGTTTGACGTGCTATATCACAAGTGCATGTTCCACATGTGCAACGAGGATTGATGGAGACCATATGTAGCTCGTCCCAGGAAGTTCGAAGCTTGGTATAAAAAGCAGAGACAAAGAGCTTTTCTTGCCAAAGAGAACCAATCGTGCGACGCAATTCATAGGCACGATAGTTGTTCCTTTGCCAAATCTTTGCTGAAGGTCCTTCCATATGTCGCGGGACGTTAGGGAGCAGCGGACACTATTATGAACCTCGTTGCTAATGGCAGTCTTCAACAACCCTTTCACTGTCGCATCACAACGAGCTCAGGCATCATCACAAAACCCAGCTCCTGTCTTCGAACGAGGAAAGCTTCCATCTACAAAAACCAACTTGTTCTTAGCGATTAGGGTTTCGGTAATATCGTTTACCCATTCGCCTTAATTACTATCGGTCAAGAGATCACTCCCAAACAATTGGTATGGATTCTCCGACGGATGAAGATAGAGAGGGGAGGTGAGCGGAATTGACTCAGCGTCGGTGACGGCCTCCTTTGAGTCACTCGAACCATCCTCTCTAGACACCATATTCGCAGCTCACGCAGTATGAACGATGACCCGCTCTGATACCATGAAAAAATTAATGAACGCGAAATCTAACAATCACACAACATAGCGATGTACGTGGTTTCCCAGTTCAACGAGAACGAGACTACTCCACGGAGAGCCAAAACTCTCAGGTTCTTTTATTATCACCGTAATTCTCACGTCTCTCGCATACATAGATGCGTCAATCCTAGCACCCCTTTATATAAGAAGGGAACTAGGTCACAAACTACAGAAAGGTCCTCAAACTTATATTGTGATACAAAACAGCGTCCAACACTCTACCACGCTCAACATATTTTACGGAGGTTCGGAAAGACGTATACACCTTGTTCCCCTCTATAGAAGGGATATTCCGGACCCTATAAATACGTACATTTTTAGTACTTGGAAGAAAATATTATTATTCTTTCAAAAAAAAAATGTTATTGGGTGTACTTTATAATTATTGATCGAAATATCATTGTAAAAATCAACATTTAATTTAATAATTATAGAAGAAGAATTTGCATTTGGATCCTATGATTCTGTCTTATGAATATATATGATAAGTGTTAATACCTTTTTTTGCCCTAAAATATGACAATATAATCAACTTTGGCCCGTGATTTCAGAAATTAACATCTTGGGTTCAACTATGTAACATATAGACTCAATTGGCCCTACACATGGTTTGACTGTCAATTTGGACGGTTAACACGCCATGTCATTGCCTTGTCAGCCTAAAAATTGTAGGGATAAGATTGTAGCCTATAGGTTGGGGCATTATCAGTTGATCACTCATTACCACCCTTAATCATTATGTATCACTCTTTATAATTTTTCGTTCTTTTATTAAAAAATTAAAAAAATTAACGACACAAACGAGTTTATCGTTATCTATAAATCGTATATATTTCTAAAAAACAAATTGGGACAAAATATACCATCCTTTACAAATCTAGTATAATGTACAACCAATTCCCCTTCTCCCGCCCACAATTCAGATTCTCCTTTCCCTATCCTCACCTCTCACACTTAAATTATCAGCCTCGATGTTTCTTCTGAGAGTGCAACCTCTCTACTTCATATTGTCGCTTCAATCTCCCAAAGATTTTCCTTTGAGTTACATGACTCTTTGTTGGCACCAAGGATATGTTACAAGAGGCCATAAAATAAAGGAGAGAGACATATATACAAGATGTTATGTTAACCTAGTTCGACCTATTGTTTTAATTTACATCTCGACTTAAAGGTGGCTCGCCCCTTTGAGACCTAGTGTCTAGATTTTTATCTTATTCCGATCTAACTCCATGTTAAATTCCTTTGGGTGGAATTCAAACTCTTGGCAAGAATAGAGCAATATATGCCCCTTCTCTCTTCCTCACAAGTACTCACGCTAAAGTGAGAAACTACACAACTTCACAACCACTCAAACAATACAGACAGTGAACTCATATCACTTCTAACACCTATTGCTAATCATAGAGTGTTTGATCTTGCTTCGTTTAGGACTGCTCTGCCACATTCCGTGAGACTTGTATTGTTGCTTCCTTCTATTTATACCTCCTTGTGAAGCAACGATCTTCTCTTGATCTTTCGATCCTTTGATTTTGGAGATTCTTTACTACAATCATATATTCACAAGTCTGGCAAGTAATGATATAGTTTTACCTTTGCGGAAAGCTTTTTTCCAACAAAGACAAGTGACTCATGAGGATTGATATAGTAAGTACTAGTAATTACAGCAGGTGCAATGGTAGAAAGATATCCAGAATTTGTAGAAGTAGAACTAGAAGAACTATCAATAGTTGTAGTTGCCATAACTTAGTGATATGGAGAATGGAGGAAGAAAAAATGCGGATTCAAGAATACCTAATCGCCTGAACCAGAGTCCGATACCATATGTAACTTGTAGAAGGGGTCAGATTTTGAGGGGAACCCGCATAGTGGCCCTTCATACATAGAAATAAAATAATTTTAAAAATGTCTATGCCAAAAGAAACAAAACAACAGTCCATGGCAACGTAGAAATTTGATTCCAAATCTGTTCTGACCACTGGAGTACTATAGGCCATAGGGCATGATGAAACAAACAGGATCGGAGCATGGACAAAATGTTGCATTATCCGGATGCATGGTCTTAAGTAGGTTCACATTTTCTTCTTCCTTGTTACAATCTTTAGGGAACAAAATCTAGACAATGTTCCAACATCCTCAATCTCTTCCCAATATCTCATTTGTTGCGGCGTGATAAAAGCTACAAGTTAAGGTATGAACAGAACAACAACCCCTGGGAGTGAAGAGAATAAAACCTGATATGGAGCTTAAAATTCCAACATTTTTGCACCCAAAAGTGATTTTGGTGAAAATCGATCCTTTAGAAGAAGGGAAGGGTACACAAAAACAACAACACAAGGGCCCAGCTGTGTGTTTATGACTTGGAGGAAAAGGGCAAACCCAAAGATAGCGCATGCTAACATAATCATGCATAAGTCCAAAAGGCGATCTCCAAAGTAATATCATTAAATCTTCCACCAAAGATAATAGTAATATACACTTAATTAAAACCTTAGATAATGAATTAATATGTATAACTAATGTTATCTGATGAATAGCCAACTTTGTAAGGGTTTTTTTTTTTCAATGAGAAAAGAAATTCATATATATTTGGTATTGCTGGCTTGCTGCCTATCATCCTATGGTCTTTCCTTTACATTTACTCAAGGAATTGAATGGCCACTTTTATTCTGTTAATTAATAGTGGACACTCCTAAGACGAAGTCCTTTCCCTGCAAGCTATATAAAGCTTGGGCTTTATAGCAAGTCATTAAAAGTGTAATAGGGTTGGGCTATAGCAACTAATTGGAAGTTGGAACCCATTACTTTGACACCTTTGACAAACTGAGAAATGACTTATTTCTGGATTTCGAAGGTGTGACGAGTTACCACAAATTTATTTGAGGTTGTTTCGCAATTTAGTGTAGGGGTCATTTCTTAAATATGCATGTAATTGTCCTATCAATTCCCATAATATATCTTTTATGATATTATATGGTTTACCGTTGTTTTATTTCAATACAAATAATGTTCATTGATACCTCATATAAATCTCATGATACATATGTTACAGGCTTAGTTGCTTACCGCTTACCAAAAACATTCAACAATATATTCAAGTATATGGACCTATTATCGTAGATATTTAATAATTCTTATAATTGAAATTATGGCTGACAAATGATTTGCCAATTATCGATATAGTCCTTGACCGAACCATGTATATTTATTACAGTTGCACCCAAAACCGCTAGGAAATTAAACTATCATTGTAGTACACGACAGCTGACTTCTGGTTGTCAATTGAATTAGGATGAACCAATTTTTTTTCTTTTAGTCATGGTGGTCAAGGTTGTCAAACCGGTTTATACCGTTGTGCCGGTTTGACAAGTGGAATGGTACGACCGATGGTATAATCAGTTTGTGCCGGTTCATGCCGGTTTAAAAAATGTGAAAACAATTAATTTTCAATGTATTTAACCATATATAAAACATATTTGTGGACAATTTAGTTACAATCCAACAAATATCATCAACTTTTAACTATTACATTCATAAAATGAATAATAAATTAATTTTTTTATTCATTAAATTCATTAAAATGATGTCATTTTACTTAAAATGCGTAAGTCGATCATACCGGTCATACCGGTGGTGTCATGCCAATTTCATGACCGGTACAGGTTCAACCAGATTCAACCGGGTGGCATGCCACCAGCATGACAACCATGTGGTGGATGAACCAGTTAGTAAATGATGATTGAACCAAAATACTAGTGCCCACTATCCCACCCTATTAGTAAAACGACGCCGTATTGAGCGGAAAAAGCTCAAACTCGACCTGGCCTCTAAAATCTAAACCAAGTTATTCAACTTCTTTTTGACGGAAAAACATATTATTCTTTGATTTTGCATCCGATTGTTAAGAAAATAAATCAAAAAGAAACCCAAAAGGACACACAAGAGTGCAACTGTGCAAGGGACAACTGAACCGCAAGTTGGTCGCTGCTCAATATCTTCTCAGCCCATTAGCAATTGTTTGGTAAGGAAAAAAATTATTGTTCAGCATTCGCCTGTCTCTCAAAACAACTACTATCTATTTGTATCACTTACATCGCTAACAAATGAAAAACCCTATGGACAACCACTCGAAAAAAACAAAGCACCAACTGAATGAACCCAGTCTAGAACAAAGAAAAGAAAGACTGAGATACAAGGAGGTGACACGTGTCAGCCTTCCGCGCCAGGGCCGCCACGCAAAGCAGTAACAGCTTCTTCACCTTCTATTAGTTGCTCCGGCACGGGGTTTCCCTTTAACCTCAGACTCCTGCAGCATCAGAACAACCACATACAACATACATTTGCATCACTAAACCCAGCCTTGAAGCACCTCAGATGGAAGGAAGACTGTTGAACCAAAAGAGTGAGTGAGTGAGTGAGTGAGTGAACACGCACCTGTGGTAGATGCAGAAAGATGTTCGTTTTTGCCGTTGCGGGGTTGTGGTTCTCAGCACCTTTGCCCCAGTCATAACAAACCTGCATACAACAGAAATGGATCTTTCCCATCAAACCCGCCAGACCTTCCGATGATGGTGCTGCTATATACTTACTGGTCAAAGATGTGAAATACATACCGCATATGCATATATGGAGCCATCATTGTTAAATGCACCGCAAGGAATTGGCTGGCTGCACCTTGACATGGCCTAGAAGATTAAACGACATTCGGAAATTTTGATTAGTTCAACTAAATCCTCACAAGGAAACCACAAAAATCAGCCATGGCATTCAACTATTGTCCCAGTGAATGAAAGGATTGAATCATCTCCTGGTACCACATCTAATAGAACGAAACAACAAGACGAACTAGGACAGCACTTGATGTTCAATCCTGGAAAGAAATGAAAAACTTGCACAAACCTTCAGCCTCTGTTTGCTGTCCTTGTCCCAAAAATTGAAAGCACCATCAGATCCTGCAGTTGCAAACGTATGGTGGACCTGAACACGAGAGAAAGACATGCATATTGTGAAGCAAACATAATTAGCAATCAGACCCCAGATTTTTGCATGTGGTTGGTAGAAAAGAGAAATCTAACCAACAAATAAGTTGCTAGCTACTACTTCGGTGAAACTACAGTTTGAAACTCGTAGGGAAGGCAACAGGAGAATGAAATTTAAATAACTTACAGGATGGAAGTTCAAGGAGTTCACTGAGTAGATATCATTTCCTTCTCTGTGGCACTTAAAAGTGAAGTTTTTACCACTCTGTGCATCATCCAGATGATGAACACCAACTCTGCCTTCTATGGAACCAACCTGCGCGAGAACAAAATGAAAACAAGAACAATTCCAAGAACCTTAGACCATTCTAAATGCCATAAACAACAATAAATGGCCAACATCAAGCGACCCACGTAATTGAACACTACATCGTTGCAATATTTGATCAAGTATGGTCAACAATTAGGTCACAGTTCTTGTAAACTCTTCTCCCAGACAGTTAAGAAAGATGGTTCCAGGAAATCATTCTTCACATGAAAGGTAAGTGGCTGCTAACGCCAATTGGATGGTGCTCTAGGTAGGGGTACTCTACTCATCTTCACCTAAGTGAAGTTAAATTTTTATCATTCTGGAATTACTTCGGTGTTTATGCCAATTGCATTTTATAATTCTGGAAGTTAAATGTACAAGATACTTACCCTCACTGGTTATAACTTAATAACCTTGAAACTATCACTTATAAAAAGAAAAGTACATGTCCACGCCACCAGCAATGACAAGGAACTGCTCACAGCCAAGAGTATCACATCTCAACTCTCAAGCAGTAATTTTAAACCCATCAACACAACCTATGTCAACCTTAGAAAGGCCAACAGATCAGAATACAATTACATTTGCTCTCAAACAGTTATGCCTTAGGTGATTGGATTTAAACCCCTCCAGAAACTTGAAAGTTGGCGAATAAGGAAATTTAAAGGACATGCCACAAAGAAAGGAATGGGTGATGACAAAGTCAAATGCATACCAAAAACCCTTGCTGATCTGGAAATGCTGCTACGCATCTAGTCTGATACTTCAGCGGTGATTGAATTCTCTTGAACTCCGCCTGCCCACATATCAAAATGTAAATTAGATACTAAGCAAATGGAGAGTCACTCTATCAGAGAGTAAGGAATAAGACCCCTAAGACTCCATCATATCTCATAACGCGAGTCCTCCCATGAAGTTACTGTTTTCGATCCCCTAGACGGTTTCCCTTTGAATAGATAGGGCTTAACCCATTCACAACCCTTTGGAGAAGAAGTACAGCTAAAATATGGAAAAGTTACCTGAGGATTTTGCAGATTGAAGACTACGATGTTCCTGTCTGCAGTACCCACAACCATGAGCGGATACCGCACTGTCATAGCATAACAGCGCTCTGGGAGTTGTTGAGTATGCACTGGAGTTTGCTGCCTTGTGTCCCAGTACCTGTTTATAGTGAAGAACTATACTTAGTATTACTAAGATAACAAATTTGACGACGTAACGTGCATAGTCTAAAAATTTGGCATCTAAACTACAAAAGGTATAAGAAAACTGTGTCAGCCATTTAAAAATTCAGAGGCATTTATTTATTGCTAGATGCTGAGAAAATTTAATTCCTCCTACAACACGAGTCTGATCAGAATAAAAGCAAGCGATGATAGGCATCAGAATCATAATGCTTTCAGTTTGAACTTCAAACTCTGTACGAAAATGTGATATGATACTTCGAAATTTTCAACAGACATGACGACAGTTAATAAAGGTAGTAACTTTTGTTCCACTTCTTGAAAATAAAATGAGTTGCAAAAGGGAGACAACAGAGGAGAAATATAAACCTACTTTTGCAACAAAGAGCAAGATGAGAGAGAGTCTTACCTCAAGGTCTTATCCCAACTTGCTGAAGCCAAGAGGTTCATTTCGGGAATCCAGGCTATCTCTTTAACTGGCCCATCATGCATAGCGACAGTGGTTGCTTGACCTCCTGACAGTAAAGGCCACATCTTCACTTGTTTGTCACAACCGCCGGTGAAAACCGTTGTTCCGTCATCCTTCCACGCCGAACATAAGACCTAAAAAACAACAATGAAGCAAGGAAGAGGATAACTCATTACTGCTGCAATTGCAAAGTGAAGTAGTAGACAGTCCTGTTTGACCCATATATTACCGGCTGGTCATGTGACATTGATGCCTTGGGCACACTGGAAACGGTGCTTGCATTTCTTGATATTTCCCAGCATCGTACCTGCAACATTATTCCAGATTTGAGAATGCTGTTGTTCATGTAAATAGTCAAGCAGAAACAAGAAAACAAAAAGGCAGCATGTGTTTCAGCGTTGAAAGATGGAATTGAAGAACTTCCACGGAGATTGTTCCTTTTGCGAGTTACTTGACAATTGACCATTGAACTTTACAGGTATAATTAAAGGGAAGCTCAACAGCTCATGCTCAAAACAGAAAGCAACACATCTAAAAAGAATTCAAAATAATTCGTAAAAGAGATGAATTCGAGTTCAAGAAACCTGGTTATCCCACGAAGTAGCCACCAAGTAGTTTGCCTTAGGACTGAAGTTGAGACTCGAAACCGAGTCAGTCGGGGGTTGAATCACCTGTAACGACCATCCAAACAACCGAAATCAGCACCCAATGCAAGAATACCCCCAAAACCATCCGAATAACCACGACGACACCTCTCCTAAACCCTAGACCGGAATGCCAAGAATCACAGCATTCCAAACTTAACTTGCAATACGAACAGCGAAATCCAAAACTCGGACAGTTCAAATGCACTCCATCAAAAGCCATAATGAACGGAAAGGACTATCAAGCTTATAGAAAGACGGCCAGCAGCCAATTCGTTTATCGTCAAAGCTTCGAAGAACTTGAACTATGATATTAATAATCACCCAAGGATACAAATGCCAAATCAAGAAACGATCAGAGAGGGGGACATTTACCTCAAAGGACTTGTTAGGGTTCGTGTTAGCAGCGGAGGCTGCACCGAAGGTAGCCATTATAGACGGCCGAGAGCACTAGCGGGAAGATGAGAATCGCCGGCGCTAAACGTGTTCGAAATTTCGGAGAGGGAAAACAGGGGAGCGACTTTTGTAGACCGGAACGTGCCGGTTAAAGCTATTTATAGTTTCGTCAATGTCACCGTCTAGCGTACCTTTAACGTCGACGAACCGCTTACTAATTAAGCTGCTTATTCCACCGCGAGAAGGGGAAATCTACACTACAGCCCACTAAGGCCCATCCACTGTTAAGGGCCGAAATAAATTGGGCTTCTTGAGACCATTAGGACTTAGCCCACTTCCCGGCTTATGCTCCTTTTCCAGACTTCCTTTCCGATTTTTCTTCCCACTTTCTGAAACAGGAACAGGCGGCGGCCATACGTCGGCGATGGCACTCCGCCTATACGGCTGGACTGAACTGTAAGGCAGAGAACTCAATCCTTAATCCGCTTCTCTGCTGGATCAGAATCCGAAAGTTGATTAGCTTCCTCTAGTATGCAAGTAACTGATTCCAGAGTTATGGCGCCCTAAGTCGTCGATAGGAAGAACTAAGAAGTAGGATGCTTCGCGCCAGGCACGCCCTGACACGATTGAAGCACCGTTGGCTCTGCACCAGCACGGCTAAGCCCAACAATGGCATCAAGAAGAACGAAAGTGGTGGCAACAATGGCGGTGATAATCACAAGCAACCATCGAGTATTACCAGATACAATGAAACGTATAGCCAGCTGGGCAAGCTCGACTTCATGACCGCCGCCAAGATCCTTTTCACAGAAACCCCTAAGCAGAAGAAGTTCGGGTAATTCATCATTCTCTCGCCTTATGGTTTATGTGGGAGTCTTGAAAGCTTGCTTGTTCCTTATTGTTCTGTTTCCTTTCCTTTGGGACATTTTGTCGAATAGGTTATATGCTTTGCTTTGCTGAATCTGCTGCGCTTATTTGGTCGCTGGTTAAACTTGCCCCCTTTGTTTAAGAGGAAGCTGCATTGTTTGCTGTCCAGAACATAGCACATTGCTGCTATAGATATTGTTTTTGTAGCTATGGATATGGAAACTTCAGGACAGTTCAGCCCACGGCCATTGATATTAGTAGAGAATGGAGATTCAGTAGTTTCTTTTTCTATCAGAATTGTTGGATGAACGCTCCTGGAGCTGAACTGCACTGTGTAATTGCTCCATATTTAGGTTAGTATAATAGATAAACGCCCTTCAATCGAAGTCAAGCTCTGGGAGACCTCTTTGCTTCTCTGTTGCTGCCTCACAGATTAGTTCGTTTTATGTTTGCATCAATGCGATAGTCCACTTTTAACTATAGCATTGGCTAATATGTGAAAAAGTTACTAACTTTCATCACCATTAGCCTCATAGATTAGTTGGTTTTACCAACCTTGACAAAGGAACATCACCATTACCCTCTTTACCGCTTTCTTGTCTAATGAAGCATCCTTCTTGAGGTGGCGTAATGACGAAACTTCCTATGTTTTTCTCTATCGAAAGTAGACAACGTAAATTGATACCCTCACTCAACCAGTAGTTACCTCTCACACTAACCCATTTAACTTGGGAATCATCTAGAGGACTAGGCAATGTTGTATCATTATGCACAATCTGTTGGCATCATGTTTTATTTATCATTATAACATTTCTCTCTTTAGCCTCATGGCTTCCATCTCTGCTTAAGGTACATAACTGATCACTTCCATCCATTTCATTTCAGGCTTGATTTTCACCTGGTACAACTCTTCTTTGTCTGCTTGCCATCATTGGGTATCTATCTATCTATCCATTGAGTTTCATTACAATGCCTGCTTCTCCAATTGATTTCTTTCTGTGCTTGGCTTCTTCTTTTTTCTTTCCGGGAATCTAATGACTATTATTCTCTACAAAACAGCTGTGTATTTGGCCGCCATGTATGCTCGTCGTGAAATGGACAGAGTGGAAATGGTAACTTAAGCACATCATTTTCTGCTGAAGATCCAAGGCTTCTCAAGATTTGTTACAGATTATGCATTTTATCCCCATGTTTCTTAAATTGCCTCTGGTTCCATTCCGTCTTCAGGAATTCCAGCAGAAGAAGAAGAAAGAAGAAGAGACCAAGGCAAAAGAAGAGGAGCAGAAAGCCCTTGAAGTAGAAGCCAAGTCAAATGCTGCTATATCAGAGGTGAAAGAGAGATTGGATAAACTAGAAGTGGCCGTCAATGAAATTGCGGCTGACAAGAAGAAAGGTAGTTCCACTGGTACGAAAGATGGTGGTAGTAGTAGTAGTAGCCAGGATCGCCTTCGGAGTGGGAACAACAAGTCTTGAAAAGAAAGCGGAACTTTTTTTTCTTCTTTCTGTGCCTTTGTTTATCCTGTAAAGAATGGTAGTATGTATGACTTTTTTCAGACGTCATCCCGACGATGGGAAGCACAAATGATGGACTTTGGGGTCGTCATTGCTTACTCAGAAACCACTGAGATAGAGATATAGGGGTCGTTTGCTTCAAGGATTTGGTACATGGATTTGGTACCAAAAAACCAACTATCAAGGATTTAGGTACAATCCGTTGTTTGCTTGCACCTTTTTTGGAGACCAAATCCGTGGGGCCCACGGATTTTAAGGGTCCAAATCCGTGGACCCCACGGACTTATAAATCCCACATGTTGATGTGGGATTTGGAATATGGCATAAATCCTTGATGAGATTTTACCATATACCCTCATGCACTTTTAATATTCCAAGGTTGCCCTCAAATTTAACTATTATACATTATAATTAACAATAAATGAATAATATAAACGTTCAATTAATGTGCAAACATGAGTTAGATTTTTTATATCATTTCTTGTGTTCTAGTTTTCTTTGACCTTTTCATGGAACGTGTAATTCTTTGTTCTCCCGATTCTAATATATGTTGTTATATGTTACTTTTGAAAAGGAGGACAAAGAATTGGTAATTGATTATGTTACGTTAAAAGTTAAAACGGAATTTACTCGTTTATTATTGCTGTCCATGTGGCAACATTATGTTTATTAGTATGTATTGTCCTTGTTTTGTGTACATACCATAAACATGTCAAACATATAGAAAATGATAGTTAAGGTAATTTTGAAGTTTTGTCCTTGTTTTGTGTACATATCATATACATGTCAAACATATAGAAAAGGACAGTAATGTAATTTTTGACTTCAAGTAGTAAATCCCACACCTTTAAATCCATGATAAAAACATCCCAACAAACAAAGGATTGTTACAAATCCATGATGACTCAAATCCTTGATAAATCCTTGGGTTTTTAAATTACAAAACCCTCATTTTTAAATCCATGAAGCAAACGACCCCATAGTGTTTTATCTTGTCGAGGTTAGTATATTTTAATTAGTAAGATGACTAATGGACGTTATTGTTTAATTGACTTTCACTAATCCTTGAACAGAGGGCTCTCCTATTAAAATCTGCTGTAATATAGTTCAAAACTAATGACAGTAACTGTTAAAAGTATAGTAGGATATACAATATCAAATCCGCCATCTCAATCAAACGCTGCCGCTGCTCCCTTCGTCAGTGGAAACTGGAAATGAAGAACAAGGAAGAAGAGGGCGAGAAACAGAAGCAATGGTCCCTCAAGTGATCTAATTAATGGATGGAGAAACACAGTTATACAATTAGATTTGGGCTCGTTTGCTTGTTAGATTTGAAAATGAGAATTTTGAGTTGTAAAAACTTTTGAATTTATGATGAATTTGTTGCATTATGGAATTTGAAATAGTAGATTGTTTGTTAGTTAATCTTTATCATGGATTTATAATGGATTTGTCTCACAATTTTACCTTTCATTATCAAATCCCAAATAAAACGTGGGATTTGTAACTCCGTGGGGTCTACGAATTTGGATCTAAAAAAAGGGGTCCAAATCCATGGACCCCACTCCTCACGGATTGTATCTCTTAGCAAACAATGGATTTGTGTCAACTCCCTGATGCTTGGAATTTGGATGTCAAATCCATCACTAAAATCACACAAGCAAACGATACATTTATGTTGTTGATGCTGGTTTGGTAGTATTATAATTTACAATGTACAAAATTGAGACTTTTAGTAATGAAGGATGAAAATGCATCATTTTAAAAGATTAGGTAGTTAACGATAATTAGTATAAGTTAGTCGTTATAGGTCGTTAGAATATCGTTAGTAGGATCTTCGTCTCGCTCGCTCTCTGTCTTGCTCTTTTCCTCCCCAATCATCTGTATATAAATCAACGGATACTCGATAAACCGTCACGTTTTCTCTCTATAATTAATGATCCGTACGAGTTTCTACGAGATTCTGTCAGGGATGGTATAAAAGGCATTCTTGTTGTATCAGCAGCTGCAAGAGAGAGCTGAGGTTTTCCCCCCAACGAACTCAAAAAAGAAAAACCTTGAACCATCTCTTCTTTGTTGAATATGATATTGATATCAAATATGACCTTCTGATTTAAGCTCTGATCTTTCTTACAATGAGATCGCGAATAAATTTGGCTTTGATTTGGTTTGTGGATTGCATTCATGTGACTGGATTTGGTAGATAAATGTCATGGACGATAACGTGGCCGGCATGCCGGAAAAACTTGATCAAAGAGAAACGAACAGTTTTGACAAATCATGATGACGGGGATGGGAGACAGATATATCCGCCACCATGCCGCATCCCCAGCAAGAAAGAAAGAAAGAAAGAGTCCAAAGTAGGGAGTTGGTGAAGTCAAATTACTAAAACTGGCGTGTATTATAAAACGGGGTTTCAGTTTCAACTTTTCAAACCTGCTTTACAAGTTACGACAATTGTGGTTGTGACCTACCCTACCCACCACCTCGCATTTTATCCTTCTTATCAACTCGCCACAACCGCGATGAGTTTTTTCGGTTACGATTTAGGTCGGGTTCGGTCAAAATCATGGTCCATGAAACCGTACCGGATATCGTAGCGGAAAAGTCAGCGGTATGATATTTTATGATAAATCGTGGTTTAATCGTAGTTCAATTGATAGACCGTTAAATACCACTTACCGATTTAGCCTCCAATACTGGTATTTCGTGGTTGAATCGTCAATACAGTTTCATCCACCATGGTCAAAACTCAATACTTCCTTTGCAGGAGACTAGAATTTAGTGATTTAATAATATAATAATAATAATACAGAGAATAATACACATAAAACATTATATGAAATGATAAAATAAGTAAAATATACTGGTTACATAGGCTACGATCAGGTGACTAAGGGGTCCCTTAGTCACATGACTAAGTTAATCTCAGCCATTGATCCTTATTATAATTTAATGATTCAGATTATCTAGTTTAATGAAGGGTAAGATGATTCAGATTGTCATATTGGTATTTTGTACGGTTAGTATGTTTTGTACTATTTGTCCGTTTCTTTTGTAATGTTTGTAAGCTTTGTTATTTTGTAATGTTTGTCGGTTTCTTTTGTAATGTTTGTAAGTTTTGTTATTTTTGTTCACCATGTTTGTCATTTTTGCCACCCATGTTTGTAATGTTTTTTTATGTCTAAAAAATATCATGGTTGACTTTTGGATGGAACTCCTCTATATAGAGATGGAGCCTCCAAAGTCAACCCGGGTGTTTTTCCATTTTGGATGGTTTGTCAGTCTAGTTTGTCATTTTTTCCCCACCAAGTTTGTAATGTTTGTATGTAAAAAAAACAACCGGATTGACTTTGGGACGGAACCCTCTATATAGGGATTGAGCCTCCAAAGTCAACCCGATTGTTTTTTTCATTTTGTATGGTTTGTATTGTTTGTTGGTTTAGTTTGTATTGTTTGTAAATCTGTTTGTATGTTTTGTCATTTCAGTTTGTAATGTTTGTAAGTCCGATTTTTATACCTCTTAATTTTTCATAGTACCCAAACTACCTTGTCATTAATTAAAAAGGTCTTCCCACTTTTTAACCGTCAGATTGGTGTGTCCAGATCTAAATTTTGGGCTCAAGATAGGTTATGCACCCATCAATAACTAAATTTGGACCCTTCATTTAGAAAATCTAGATCTAAGGATGGAGAATTAAATATCATTTTTATTTTTCCTAGTTTTCTTAATTGGCTCATATCTTCTTCGTTTTAACTTGGATTTTAATTTTTTTGCATAGATGGAACGAGTTCGTTGTGCTCTACAAAATGAGATCCATTTTCAATATTTTTTGAGGAAAAAAATTTATTGCCTCTTGGTACCAACTGCATATCATATGGTATCTTCTTCGTTTTTAATTCGTTTTTGAAAACGTTTGCACAGAAGTAACGAGTTCATCATGATCTATTGGATCTACAAATTTCTGGGTGAACCAATTACAGGACCAAAAGTTATCACACAATATCATACAATACCACCCTGGTACGAGGTGGTATCTTGTGGTATACAATGTTAAAAGTCGTAAATGACAGTTAATATAATTCTATTATCATGTATTCAACCATCCTACGGTCTTGGTTTGTTCATACCACCATGGTACGCTTTTCAAACCATATGTATGCTCTTATTTCAATACCAGTCAATACCATATAGTTATAGACTGATAAAAAATGGCTCAATTTTTTTTTGTTCGAAAAATATAACAAAGTGAATATCATTTTAAAGAACACAAGTAATCTGATCTAACTGTACAAAAAAAAATTTCGACTTAAATTGAGTGAGAAATCGTCCGTCAAAGATTAAGAAGGGGAAAATTAAAGGCTTTCCGGAAGAGAGAGGGATGTTGATGTCATGCTGATGTAGACGCCTAGACGGGTTACTCATCATAAGTATAGGTGTCAATCGGGCGGGTTCGGGCGGGTTCGGGTTGGGTTCAATCGGGTTCGGGTTCAAACGGGTTGCGGGTTAGTCGGGTTGCGGGTTCATCGGGTTCGGGTTCATTGGGTTCGGGTTCAAACGGGTTGCAGGTTAGTTGGGTTGCCAGTTCATCGGGTTCGGATTCAATCGGGTTGCGGGCAAATCGGGTTGCGGGTTCATCGGGTTTTGGGTCGGGCGGGTTGCGGGCGGATCGGGTTTCGGGTTGTTCGGGCCAGCGCATCAAGTAACTTAACTCATTACTCATTACCAACTTACACATTTTATTACACCAATTTAAAATATTTTCTCAACTTCTTAATCAATTTATTTCTACCTCGTATATATATATACTTTATTTTTTTGAAAAAAACTAGTCAAAATGTTAAATCAATGTGTATGACTTGCAAACCTGTTATGTAATTAATCATAATTGGTAAAGTATTATAGCTAATAGTAATGGTGATATCAATATTTGCAACCAAAAGACACCATTAATTGTTTATTTGATATTTTAGTTTTAATTCAGTAGTAATTGGATTAAAGTATCTCGTTTAGTATAACCATGCAAATCTGGTATTTGGTGTGTGGTATTTGGCAAAAGCATAGTGATAAAAGGAGTTATTTCGAAATAACTCATTGCCCAAATAACTTCAGTAAACTGTTGCCAAACAAGTTATTTGTAAAATTGTTCGAATTATCCTAAAAATTGAACCATTAAAGATTAGCTATCAAATTTAGTAAAATTATTGTGACTTCAATCATAACTTACTCAATAGCATATATCCTATACACTTAGCCTTACCCTCAATCAACAATATTAAGTTAGTATATGTTGTTGATTGTATACCCTAAACCATCAATACATTATACACTAACCACATAACCTATACCCTATACCCTAATCATATGTCTTTGAGTTGTGATTTTGCTAGTATAATTTATTTAAAAGTGAAATTCATATTTGATTTTCAAAACATAGATAAAAAGTGATATTTGCTAATTGTTATACCCTAACCATATATCCTATACTTTACACCACATACCTTGTATCCTAACCACGTACCATAAACATAAATTAAAAGGGGATCTCCTGCCGTTAAAGACTTCAAATGACTTCAAGTGAACATATGTTAATAAAAAACTTGGAACCGTCAAAACCATCAATATCTTATACCCTAACCATATACACCCTAAACCATATGTACCTTATACCCTATATCCTAACCATATACTTTATATCCTAAACAACGAACCGTCAAAGATTACTTATCAAGTTTAGTATAAATTGTTGTAACTAATGGTTAATTATTTATTAGCTCATAAACAATTACATATATATATATATATATATATATATGGGCAGTTCTACGGTGCCCAGGGCAAAATCAGGGGTACGGGTAACCGGGGGCAAGGAAAATTACCAAATGCATCACGAAGCGTTTATGGTGACTTCTACGGACTTCAACCTAACTGTACCCGGTTTAATGATAGCGATTAAGAGGTTAAACCCTATGGATACGACCCGCCGCCCTAACCAATTTCCAGTCTCCCTTCTACGATCCCTCATTCGCCTTGGAGGGTCCCCTCTAACTCTAAGTTCGAAGTTCGATCATAAGCT